AAACATGGCAGAAATCCATCAAGTCACTGATAAGTGGACTGAGCTGTGTCAGTAGGTGTCGACTACCTAGTTGGGATCCGCGAGATGTTAGTATTCGATGATTAGTTACCAGGGTTACAATCAAATTGTTTCTGCACACATAAGGCCCGGGGAATGTTTGATTCATTTATGAATAGCTAAGACTTCCTTGACAAATGTTATACAATGTCATAAAAGCTTTATTGATGATATCAATTGTATGCTCCGTTTCGATTATGTGTTTTGTGATCGATAAATACTGGGTTTTTTTTCTTTTCTTAATATCCAACTTTTATCGGTTCGTTTGATGTTTAATTGATTTTGAAGTCACTGAAGCAAGCATATTACCCTTGGGATTGCATTGTTTGATTATTCAAGCTTGATGCCAAACCTTTTAACTCATATGTTTATTTTGTCAGCTAAACTAAGTCGATGATATTTTGTGTTATTTCATTATTCGTTGTGATGAACAAATTTGGATTGTTTGGCATTGCTTTGGCAAGTATTGCTAACAGTCCAGTTGAGGTGGTTGAGACATGTGTTGCGTATGCCCAACCACCGACTGCCTCGACGAGCTTTGTTTTGTAGTGTAGGAATAGGTTGGAAGAAAGCTAGGGGCGGCCAAACCAAAACATGGCACAAATCCATGAAGTCATTAACGAGTGGACTTAGCCATGTCGGTAATTGTCGACTACCTGGTTGGGGTCCGTGAGATGATAATAATTGATGGTTAGAGACCTTGAATGACATGGCTCGATGATATTTCGTGTTATTTCATTATTAAAGAATCCTCATCGTGAATATAATTAGAACAATACACACAGATAATAAGTGAAAAGTGTATAGAGCTGAAGGTTTTGCTATGAGACCAAGGGTTCGTTGTGATGAACATTGTAGATGGTTTGGCATTGCTTTGACAAGTATTGCTAACAGTCCATATACAAAATTGGTTTATAGCAGGATGACCGATTTCATTGATACTACTGGTGGTTGTTTTGCAACATTCCAGAGGGCCATTGTCATTGTGATGCTGTATTACATGGATATCACCATTGGTAATAATTATGAGTTTGACAGTCATATGTGAGCGGGATGGATCGAATTGGCCTGTTCATGCGGTGCATATTGATTGACGATGCGATCGTGGACCGGAAATAATCACTTTATATGTACTAGTGTGTATAAAATGGTGTGAATGGTCGAGCAGAGCGTCAAGTACCTGCGTGGTTGCACCACAGGATTGAGCCGAACTGTTCATGTCGAAATGCTAACACATGGTTCTCCTGAAAACCAATGTAAAATTGCCCTTGACAAAAGAGAGGGTCAAGTCACGTAATTGTGAACTGCACATGAATAGTTGAAAAAGTACAAGTTGATAGTAGAAGAAGACAGGTGGCCCTTTCTAAACCATGCTTGGAAATGTTCATTCATTATCGGTGAGTATATTGGCAAGCAGAAGGACTTTTCCTGTACACGCTTTTACTTAACGAGCCGTGCTAGGTAAGAATGGCAGATCAATAGATGAAGTGGTGAAACTTCACCAGTTGAGGTGGTCGGGACATGTGTTGCGTATGCCCAACCACCGACTGCCTTGTCGAGCCTTGTTTTGTAGTGTAGGAATAGGTTGGAAGAAAGTTAGGGGCGGTCAAACCAAAACATGGCACAAATCCATGAAGTCATTGACAAGTGGACTGAGCGATGTCGGTAATTGTCGACTACCTGGTTGGGGTCCGCGAGATGATAATAATCGATGGTTAGAGACCTTGAATGACATGGCTCAAAATCGTTCGTTTATTATCTATGCGTTGTTCTCATAGTCATCATTGTTACTTTAAGAGAAATTAATTTTAAGTGTTATTCATGCAACGGATTCCAATGCTGACTCATAAGACTAGTTGAAATATATTTGAAATAATTTTCATTATTATGCATGTCGATATATAACCTGGAAGCACTGAAAGAAGGGCTTTTCTTCATAGTATAGGACTCATCAGCAATGCAGATCCACGACTCCCACTCGTGGAGATCGAATCCAGGACTTTCGGTCCTGTGTCTAAGACTTTAACATCTAGACCACTGACCTGGAGTCCAACGTTGTTAATGTCTTACCTCCATCAATCCACGGTTTTGCGCAACCTTATCCGTCGTCTTCTAAGGATGCTGCTTCAAACCCGACAGGGTTGAACTCCACTGGTCATCGTCTCCCACTGGAACTCCGAGAAGCTTCATGGATTGATCGAAGTTAGATATAAACACCGTCGGACGCCGGCTCAGTGATATAGAGGTTAAGCGTTGGCGCGCAAGACCGAAGGTCCTGTGTTCGAATTGCGCAAGTAGAAGGAGTCGTGGATGTGTATTACTGATGAGTCCCATACTAAGACGAAACTCAATAATCTCTACAACCCTCTCATGAAAAATTATCTGTTTTAATCCCCGGTGACCATTTTGCAAACGATTGCTATAATGTGAGTTGTTTTGTTTCTTTCTAACTCTACTGTCATCATTCTCCTCTTAATAATTAATTTCCTTTCTAACTTACATTACACAAATATCGAATTATTACAAAAACTACACTAGTCAAAAGCCGATCAATCACTTCGATCAGCTGAACAAATTGCTATATTAAAAGATGAATTATTCGGTGCAAAACGTCGAGAAACGGAATTAATCAAGCAAATGGAAGAGTTAAAGCAACGATTCAACGATATGGATTCACTGTGGCAAGTAAGTCGAAAAAATATCTTGTTGTTATCACTTACTTTTAATGAAATAAGGTGAATTGGTTCATTTCATCTACAGACATTACTGTTCACTGAAGATTTGCTCTCTGTCTCTCTCTCTCTCTCTCCCTAGATTTTTCCTTACTTACTTACTTACTTACACCTGTTACCCCGAAGGAGCATAGGCCGTCGACCGGTATTCTCCAACGTACTCCATCCTGGTCTTCTATTCCCAGTTCTGTTCAATTTTTGTTTATTCTTCTCATATCTTTCTCTATTTCTCGGCGTAATGTGTTCCTTGGCCTTCCTCTTTCCCTTTCTCCTTGAGGATTCTAGATGAGGGCTTGTCTTGTGACGCAGGGTGTGTTCTATTCACTTCCAGCGCTTCTTCCTGCATTCCTCCTCCACTGCAATCTGGTTTGTTCTCTTCCGCAGTAGGTTGTTACTTTTTCTACCTGACATTTGTGCTGATAATGTCGTTGTTGTACCGAAAGCTCCACGATGAAAACATGTAGTTCAGAGAACGAAACTCCTACTTCATCAAATCTATAATACATATTCTCACCTAACACGTCCTGGATGTTGTAACAAATTAGTCACATAAACAATACTCAAAATATCTGATAGAATATTATCTGAGTATAGGTGTTATTGACAAGAATATTAATTCTAGAATTCACCTATATTTAACTGCTATGAGTTGCACAAGCCTAAAACATCAACTTCATACTTAAAAGATTCGCTGCATTATATTTTTTGAAATTCAGTTCTTTCGCGATACACCACCGCAATTATCATTCATTGAAATGCCGTTTATTTGATCATTACTGAAATCATGAATCAGACATTGTTAGACCGCAATGAGAAACCTGGAAGCACTGAAACACGTCCGTTTCGTCCTGATATGAGACTACTCTTCATCAACACCGCGCGTTCATGAATCCTGCCGCTCGCGGGATTCGAACCTGGAACCTTCGGTCTTGCGCATGAACGCCTAACCTCTGGAACACTAGACCTGCGTCCAACAGTGGTAATGTCTAACTATTGGGTTCGTCACTAAGTATGCTTGAGGCTATTACGAGTTTACCTTAGTCGATAAACGCGAACGAGACTTTTACCAGCGTCCAGGTAGGCTACCTCGAATCCCCAAACTAAGGTTAGAAGGCTTTGTAAGCGTAGAAAGTATATCTACAAACACCCAGCAATCACAATACAATCAAGCATACAACTCTCATTTATTTATACATCATAGAAACGTTCTTGGGACAGTTAAGAAAATAGCACACTAAAATACACAGTAGCCAATCACAGCCATGGATTTTCATGGTGGGAATTGAAATCTCAAGGTCAACTGATCAGCCCATGCTGGCAAACGTAGTATCCAAAATAAGGCATTTAACAAAAGAGTTTTGGGGATCTAACATTCCCAACACTAACTCTGATCAATCTAGGGATTTTGCGCGACCTCCCCAATTGATCATAAACTCCTTTTTCTTATATATGTTCTGTTCTGTTTCTTCTAATTGAAATCTCTTTTTGAATTCAGGCACATCTTGGAAAGTGTAAATGTGTCAATAATGATACAAAACGTTCTTCACTATGGATTGGTTCTTTAAGTTCACTGGAAAGTTCACATGAAATGAATTGTAAAATGAAATTTTCTGATCGACTACTTGAAACACGATTTGTCAATCAAATTAGTAGTTTAAAACAACAGGTATAGAAAAAAAATTGATTTTATTCATGGTGATTCTTTTTTCCCTTTTACTCATAAACAGAGGTGATTAACTCTTTTTTTGTCACAAGTTTAAACTCATACAGTTTTATAAAACATCATCGGTAACTTGATCGCGACAGATGTTGATCAACACTTCCGCAACATGCAGTTGATCATTTCTCATTAGAGTCGATCAGTTTCAACTACATTTCATCCCCAAATAAAGTCAGCTGGTACCTGATTTATATCTCAGTGGTAACCTCCCGTACTGAGAAACTTGACGATACGGAATTGAATTCGTCATCGATTATAAACAAATTCCCTTAAGGTTTACAGGTACAGTTTGCCGACAAGGGTTAAATAGTGCGAAACCTTGATCCAAGGGTTTCTTATAAGAATAGTGATATAGATCACTCGAAAACTAATATAATGACTGAATGTGAATGGTAGACTGGTAGCCTAGTTGTTAAAACAACCCTCCCCGGAATGTCCTAGTATAACCAAGAGTCGAAAGAGTCCACCCTCCTCTGCAAATGCTCTCATGTGGGGACACAAGTGCATAGCCATTGACATGGAAGATTCTACTTACTACCGTCTCGTGACAGGGCTGAGAGGACAAAAAGCAAATTTCCCAGTTCGTTGATCGTATTGATCGATACCGCGAGTTTATCTAAGTGTAAGTTTGAAAACTCCGGTTGTAAACCAACGATGTGTATCAGCTCCAATGTCCTGACGCGGCAAATGATGTATGAACCTATTGTCGGTTACCGGATGGTTACCTTAGGTTCACATCTGCAGATGTTGCTGCACTACCTTATGGATTAGACCTGTAAATGAAAGTCGCAACGGATGGCTCTCTAAGTAGATCAGCTGCTTCATTTTCGGCACCCAGTTAGAGTATCCCAACATACATACATTGGAAAAAAGAACTTCATACTATATTATATTACTGACTATACCACATACTGTTTATATCTATAGTTTTATATATAATCACTTTAATCTATGTACAATCTATGAATGAATTCTTTCTAACTATCTAACGTTCGAACTGTTACTCCTGCACGTAAACACGTCAGCTTGATATGCTTGAACTATTTCGAGTTTACCTTGTCGGAAAACGAGAGCGAGAATCGAGGATCCAGCGACACGACATGCTACTCAAATCCCATTATCCCAATCCCCACATTTAGTAAAAAATTAAGAAGACTTGAATGTGAAGTAGAACCTGTATTCTACAAACATCCAGAAAGTACGAGGTCCGAATCCAGAAGAGAATCAGGATCTCGGACAAGGGATCCGGGACCGAGTCCTGGTCCTGGTCATGAAATGTTACACATAATGCGTATTTATATATTTTGGTCGAACGGGAAACATCATCAAAGTCTGTGACATTAACAGTTAAGACGACCAATAGGAGGCAACATTTGAAGTGACATTGATAGTCAGGACAACCAATAAGAAACAATATTGTAGTATGTGACATTGATATCTAGGACAACCATAAGATTGACCAGTAGGAATTAACCAATAGAAATGGACCAATAATTCTCTTAGGATATTGGATGTATATCCTAACATGAACCACACCTGAAGCCCTCCTAGGGTTGTTGCTGGTCTTAAGTCGGAATAAAGTAAACCGTTTAAGCATAAGGTCTTGCGCACGAACACCTAACCGGTGAACCACTGAGCCGGTGTATCTAATGGTGTTAATGTCTAACTTCCAATAAATTCATGGTCTTCGGTGAGCAACTGTTTCAAACGCAAACAAAGTTGAGCTCCACTGGTCACAATTTCTTACTAGAACTCGGAACAGCTTCCTCACGGTGTTAGTCACTAGTAAGCACAATGAGTTCGCATTATAGAGTTGTGTAGATTATTGAGTTACTTTTTTTTGAAACCATGAATTACAACAACCACCAAAAAAAACAAAAACGTTTTTTTTCTAATATTTATCATTAGATTACTGATTTAACTGTACAACAAGAATTATCTGATCGTCGAGCTGATCGTTTAGATAAACGTGTCACTGAACTACTTGAATCACGTACAATTTTTCAAGCAAGAGAACGTGAATTAACATTGGAATTAAAACAATTAGAACAAAAATGTGCTGATATTGAAGCGAAGGTAATCAAAAACATTTCATTGATTTTTTATATAAATCAATAATATTGATGTTTAATTAATGTAGTATATATGTATTAGTAGTAGTAAGTAGCTAAGTCAGAGATAACATGTTGATGCTTGAAGTGAAAATTACTGTATACAACTCCTGCAGTGAATATCAACTTTAGGATGTAGGTACATTCAGCTGATGAGTCCTATGTGGGACGAAACGCGTCTTGCTAGCTATCATCTATATATCTACCTACGGTTGCTAACATTTTTAACCACTGAATGCAGTTATGGAGCTTAACCCAATCAGCTGAAAGAAGACGGAAGATCACATAGTATAAGCAAGTCTTATATTCCTCCAGACATCCAGACCGCGCTATAAATCTGTATCCAACATCACTCGCCTCGGCCGTAACTTCAGCGCAACACTAGACTGCACATCCACTGCATACTACTTATAAGCTCCGTTATAAGTAGTACACAACACTGTAGTACTACAGGAAGAATCCCTGTTGCTTCTGAAACGCCAAATCATCCAGCTCACTATATACAACATCTACGTGAATTACGAATCTTCTCCAACAGTCAGTCAGTCAGTTACAACGTAGAACGTCAGTACGTATGTACATCGGTCCAATTGGCCACACTCCAGTAGTACAGCAGAGAGATGAATTTGTGAGATTGAATCCCAGGCCGATAATATAGGTATTAATAGTGTCAGTGATCATAGCAACCAACACATATCGAAGATAAGATTTCAGAAAATTGGAGTCCATAAAATAAAATTCGGGGAAAGACAAGAAAGTGATACAATCATATATTCCTATCTCTATCTGATATCTTACTGTCTCATTTAGTCGGAGCTATGTTTTGTGGTGTAGGAGTAGGTTGAAAGAAAACTAGGGGTGGCCAAACCAAAACATGGCACAAATCCATGAAGTCACTGACAAGTGGACTGAGTCATGTTGGTAGATGTCGACTTCCCGGTTGGGGTCCACGACACAACAGTAACCGATGTTTAAAGATTTTGAACGATATGGCTTAAAACCGTTTACAGTGACGCAGGTGCGTCCACTCTTTGTGTCCTGTCAAATGCTAACCTTCTGAATTCCTCATCACCTTTATCTTTTTCTTTTTAAGTTTATTTCACTGAATTATACTTCTTGAATAACATCGTAGAACCATAATCTCTCCGATTACTGCTAATACTTTTATTACTTCTACTACTATGGGATTTGAATTGACAATTCCACCTTTGTGTACTATAATATGGTATGGCAACGTGAACTGATATATGTACACACGAAGTTACTACTGGAATCTAGTCTATAGGCGTCAGTTTTACTGTTGGAACTTACCGTTTTGCCAACAAAATCTAACACATTCACTGTTGTGTGTAGAATAAATGTATATCGATTGTCATGCATTTCCTTGTTGAACTATTTCCTGTCTTTCTGTATACTTACTCTTCACGAAAACAAAAAAAATACTACTAACAGAGATACTAAAAAAATAAACTTTGATGTATTATCAGCTGATGACTACCTACCTACTTGTTTATTCATAAATTAGTGTTGTTTATAGTAGTATATAAGTGCTTCAGTCTTTACTCTCTGCTCTCTCACTCTCTCCTTCCCTCGCTTTCAGTATATGTATGTATTCATGTGATATTGTTTTGAAATGTTGTTGTTTGGTAAACTCTAGCACTAGTAGTAGTAGTAGTAGTAGTAGTAGTAGTAGTAGTAATCTCTCTCTCTCCTATTTAAATCTCTGTTCTTCTGTGGGGATGGTTGCATTCGAAGAAAAAGTATATTTCCTGTTGAACTTAACTTATTAACTATTTAGGTTGATGGAGTCTACCAGGTCACAGTACTAAACAAAGAGGTTCAAGACATTTAGTGACTCAGTTCATTGTGATAAAGTTTCGTTCTCTGAGCTGGATGTTTTCGTTGTGGAGTTTAAATTGTTCTTCCACTAAACAACATCATCAGCACAAACTTCAGATAGTAGAAGTGAAGTATTCGAATTTCTCCACGTTTGACCTGTAGCTTGTTCTGCTAACCTCAATCTTGATTGGTTGTTTTGAACCCATGACCTATCGTTGTTTGCACCATTATTTCGATCGTATCCTTCTTTTGATCTGTTTATCTTATCTCCACAACCAAAACAACTTCCACCTCAGAGAATGAAACTCTACTACAATCATCCAACTGAGCTACAGATTTTCGTCACTAATGTTACTATTACTACTACTATTCCGATACTTATTTTGATTATTTTCACCTACACAGTGTTAATTTGATTGTAACCAATTTGATCTCGAATCGGTGTTAGAGACCTGGCAGCATGACCGCAGAGCCCAAGGGACAACTGCTTGAGGCCGGTCACGCACGGCCGTTTTATGGGTAGTATTTAAAGTGTTAGCTCCGTTCTTGTTTAAAAGCCCTTACCGCCGGAGACGGAAATCCGTGAGGTGTGACATTTTCAAAGTCGATCTTTTCTAACCCTTCATTCTACATTGTAACTGACTGACTGACACAGTGTTGATATGGTGTTTAAATCTAATCTATGCACCAAGTTCCATGTTACTAACAACAACTACATGAGCATTACGCGCAATTATTTCTTTGGAGTGTTGTTGTAGAGGTGGTTCACTCGTTTGTCTTAGGATATATGAGCAATGCTTCGAAGACACCTATGATCAAAAACCAGTAACCTACGAATATCTTCTACTCTCATTGGCCATGTTTCACAGCCATAAAGTAAGACGGAGCGAACCAATGCACAGTACACTCGTCCTTTAGTCAGCAAACGGATATCTCGCCTATGGCATAAGTGACACAGGTTGGCAAAAGCCAATCGAGCCTTCTGTATGCGAGCTGAGTTTTCGTCAGTCACCAGGCTATCGGCACTGATGAGACTCCCAAGATAAGTGAAGCGGTCTACACGCTCGACTACTTCACTCCTTATCACTAGTTCAGGTGCCGATGCAACCCAGTCTTGAAGCAACATTTTGCATTTCGAGGAGGAACGATGTCATTAATGTTTACATAACTGTAAAATCTATCACAAGTCATCATTACTTACTTACTTACACTCGTTACCACTAATCGAGTATGGGCCTTCCACGAGCATTCTCCAACCTACTCTGTCCTTCGCCTTCCTTTACAATTCTATCCAATCGCTGTTCATTCTTCGCATACATACTTGCAATTCACAATACGATGTGTTCTTTAATCTTCTTCATTTCATTTGTCTTCGAGGATTCCAAGTGAGTACTTATCTTGTGACGCAGTTGGGTGATTTCCTCGATGTGTGTCCTATGCACCTCCTGCAATTCTTCCTCAGCTGAACGAAGCTGGTTTGTTCTCTCCCACTGTAGGTTGTTGCTGATGGTAATCTGGTCAACGGATCCGAAGTATCTTGCGTAGACAACTGTTCATAAATATCTGTATCTTGTGGATGATGGCCTTTGTGATCCTCCAAGTCCGCCCTAGAACTGTTTTGACGTTTGTGTAGAATATTGTGACTTTGGTGTTGGTTGACAGTTGTGTTGGGCGCCAGATGTTCTTCAACTTTAGATATGCTCCCTTTGGTTCCCCGATTCGCTCCTTCACACCTGCATCAGATCCATCCTGCTCATCAATGGTGCTGCTACCCAGATGTGTAGAAGTTTTTACATCTTCCAAAACTTCTCCATCAAGTGTGACTTGGTTTGTGCATGTTGTGTATGTTGAGCCCTACTGCTGTTGAGGCTGCTGCTGCTACCATACTACTCGTCACCTTCTCACATTGTCAATATTTCAGAAACCTTAGAATAGTTTTTTTCAAGCTCATCATAAAAATTTAAATTTCTCTTAACGCCAATCAGTCACAAATTTGAATCCAGCTTCAATTATTCTACTTGTCAGTCAGTTTAGAGAGGAATCAATGCTAGTTGCATCAGTCACTCACTACTACTACTACTAACTACCACTGCATAGTTATCTACTTTTTTTCTTCTAGTTTGACGCAAAACCACCTACCGAAATTCATACATACTATGCCAATCACATATGAACTATAAATAGAGCACTGAATTGAATTCAACTCATACAACACACACACAATCAACATGAATACAATTTTTTATTGTACTGATTATTAATAAAGTAATCATCTTCACACACTGATTTGTAGATCGAATCAATCGATCAATCAATCAATACAAACTGATTGATCATGTCTATCATTTCTCAATTGTGAAATGTCAATCAAATCAGCTAGAACGTTTGTACGTCTCTACATCAGTTCATCTTGCCATACCATCACATAAACAAACACACACAGAGAGAGAGATGGAATTGTTAATTTAAATCCCATACTTGTAGAGGTGGTTGGTAAGAAGTGATTAGAACTAATGCTCGTTTTTAGAGTTTGTATAGTGTGTGTGTGTGTCAGCCAGTCAGTCAGTAACAACGTAGAACTTCGTCCGTACTTGCGTACATCAGTTCAAGTTGTCATAGCGCATGAGCACACAGAGATGGAATTGTCACTTCAAATCCCATAGTAGTCGAGGTAGTAAAGGCATTAGAAGTAATCGGAGAGATTAGGGTTCGATGATATTATTCAAGAAGTATGATTCAGTGAGACCAGTTTAAAGAGACTAAAGTAGAGGTGTTGAAGAATCCAGAAGATTATGATTTGAGAGAACACAAAGAATGAATGCACCTGAGCCATTGAAAACGTTTTTGAGCGATGTCATTCATGGTCTCTAATCATCGAATACTATCAGCTCGCGGGCCCCAATCAGGTAGTTGACATCTACCAACATGACTCAGTTCACTTGTCAGTAACTTCATGGATTTGTGCCATTTGTGTGTGTGCACACATACACGTATATGAACACTTTGTACAGTATGCAGTCTCCTCAACTTATTCACTCTGTACTTGCTCACACATATGACTCTCCAAGTTTATTACCTGTCTGAACTAAATTCTGAATCTTTGTAGTACCGTCGGTATACAGAATTCTAT